ATGTTTTCATATTTGACCAAGTGTTTGGTTGGCATGAATGAAATGTGATATGTCTAATGAATTGGAATTTTCATGTTTGGTTTGCAACAGAATTGAAATGAAATGATGAAAAAGGACAAAAATAACCCTTCCTTGATATTTTTTAAAATTAAAAAATCATATACAAAAATCAGAAATTTTGTTGTGGAAGCTTTTTTATTCTTCAACACACACACACATACACACACATATATATACAATCGTCTTGTGGATATATACAAAGTAGTACATGAAGCGATTGGTAGAAGCAGTAATCGAACGAGAAGATGAAAGCAGCAATTGTTCGAGAAGATGACAACGTTCTTTGATAGGAAGCGATTGGTAGAAACAGTAATCGATCGAGAAGATGAAAGCAACTAGGGTTATTAAAAGTCTAATGAGGGTATTTTTGTCATTTACACTATTTTTGGATGTAATGGATTTTAATTCCATCACTACTCCTAAGGAATTGTTAAATCCTCAAATGATGAAATCTTTGGAATCCAGTTCCATTTCATGGCTAGCCAAACGTTGGAATAGAACTTAGGCAACGAAATTTACCATTCCAATTCCAACAGATTTCGGCTAATTCCGACGAACCAAACGCCCCCTAAACTTCTTTCTCTAGTTTCATAAATCATTAAACCAAATTTATCGATCTAACAATTATTTTATATTTTAAACCAACAAATTGAATTATATATATGAATGGAATTGGCTACATGCATCCCTATGAATTATTAAATACATCCTTACTTATAATTTTTTGTCTTACACATCAATATCAAAACTTATTTCTGAAGAAAAAAAATATTACCCGAATCACAATCGGATCCAGTGCATGGTGGTAGGGGTCCTAGGCCCCCAACAAACCAGTTTAGTAAAACTTTCTATTGTGTGTCCAACAAGAACAAGGCAAGAGCCCCTAACTTGATATTTTGATTGTTAATTGGTCTATTTTGCAGCACACACTGATATTTTCGTTCGAAATATAAAATATAAAAATTATACACATCGATGAATTAGTAAAATGTCAATTGAGAATCGATCTGAATGAGTTATTTTTATTCGGTTAACTGAACCGTTTAAGCCGAAAAGAAAAACCCAAAACCGTTTTCATCCGGATGAATTATTTGGTTTTTTTTTTTTTTTGATTAACCTGGATATCCAACCCGCTATGCAAGCCGACTAATCCCAGGGCAACCACCTGTTTTGCAGACAGGAGTCACCGCATTTGAATCTCCGTTGCCACAAACGGATTTTTATTCCTCCTTGGATTTGAACCTGTGACCTCCTGGTACTTTGATCTATGGAGTCAAACTCAAACCAATCAGACACTACATTTGTGGTTGAATTATTTGGTTTTGATTTTTTTTATACCTTTAAATGTACTCTCAACTATAAAAGTTTTTGGATCCGCCACTAAACCGAATGATTATATGATAGATAAAACAAATATTTTGTCCCGACACGAATGTGGACGGATGGCTCCTAAATCAAAAGGGCGTGCATATTCAGACGTATAAACGTTATAATCATGGTCCATCTGACCAAATAAGTCCTATAAATCCCACTTAATTAATTATTTATATTTTGCTTTGTGGTACTTAATTTTTCTCTTTGGCATTTTCTGAACATTTCTTTAAATATTTGCAAATCCACCCCCTCTATGTTTTATGGTCATAATAACAATCAAAATTTTCTAAAATGTATGATCCTTGAAACCAATCAATACTAATAGACTGAAACCGACAGTATAGACACAAGAATCATCTATCGAGTCATACTGAAACTTGACGAATAAATTTGAACATACCAATTAACACAGCATTGTTGCCTAAAGAAGTTATGATAAAATACTGTGTTAGGTGAGTAGATCGTATACGATCACGACATGTCATTATGTCAATGGAATAGTGCAGTAGTTGAAGTTGGCTACTATTATTAAAATAGTTGGTGCCAGATGTTTTGGCTCGTCAAAGTTATCTGAGACTACAATTTTTGTAGTCCTTTTTATGATACGAAGGATCAAGTCATATTAGTCCCAACAAGAAACCCCACCTTGGGATCGTCTCTAACATCGGTTTGATTGCTATAATGATTTTTGTCTTAGGGGCCGTTTATCTAAACACTTGTTTGATAAGCGTTTACTGGTAAAATTCAACATTATTACTTATCTTATCTAACAAGACTTTAGTTCATCAAAACGACATTGTATGTAAAAATCTTCCCGGTAAGTACTAACAGATTAAGAGTCGTCAACTTCACTTACCAGGTAAAACTCTCGGTCCTTGTTTTTGCTCTTACCAGTAAGATTCTTGGTTCTTGTCATAGTCATCCAATAAGGCATTGTGACTTAATAAATGTTTAACCGAGTAAGCGTTTGGTAAACGGCCCCTTAGTCATGTGCTTTCGTATTTCTAATAATTCTTAGGATATGATGCATACAATGTGCTTGAAGATGTACATCATTCAATTTTTATGTGTGAATTTTAAATTTAAAAATCAATTAAAAAAAAGTAAATCAATGTATAATATAAAAATTGAACCATAAGGGTGATGCCTGATTAGTTTGAGCTTGGCTCCAAAGGTCAAAAGTACCAGGAGGTCATAGGTTCAAATCCAATGAGGAATACAAATTCTCTTGTGGCCACAGAGGTTCAAATGCGGTGACTCCGGACAATTTGCAAAGTAAATGGTCGTCCTGAGATTAATCGGCTCGTATAACGGATTGGATATTAAGGTATTAAAAAAATAATTGAACATTATATCATGTGTATTATATCACAAGTGGTTATTTTCAATGTTGAAAGTCAGAAGTATGTTAGCATCGCACCCAACTTAACAACTTGCTTGATAAAACATATTTAGTTGGTAGTGAATTTAACCAAGGAGAAATAAAAATGCTCTTGTGGTCATGGATGTTCAAGAGCTGTAATTTCGGGCTACCCATAAAGCAGGTGGTCATCATGAGATTAGTCGGCTCGCATAGCGGATTGAATATATAAGTTAATAAAAAAAAAGATTCATGCACATAACGAGTTGAACAAAATGATAAACTATGTAACATAGTATAAACTGCTTGATTCGGGTGAACCTGTGAACAAGATTGTCTTTTTATAACTTTAAACTTTTTCCATCAACATGTAAAACCACAAAATTAAATAGAACCAAGTAGACGTGTTCTCAATAACTAATATATTCTAACCCAATCATAAAATATTAATTTAAATTTCATCGTTTTTGGTTAAAAATTTACATCGACTAATAAATCATATTTATACATATAAAACTGGTGTGGACTAATTTTATCTGTTTTGATGATTTATATTCTCATAACTTAAAATGAGTTAGATCAGTATCTTAGCGAGTTAGAATTGACTATAATATTTTTGAATATTAATAATAATTCTAACCATTTTATCGATTTAAAAAAAATCTTATAAATTATGGGGTTGTTTGATAGTTACTGAATGCACCATTGTGCAAAATTATTAAGTGGTCCAAATGATTAAGAAACTCTCATGATATAATGCAAAATGAAATATAATTGTTACGTAATTGTTTACAATGAAGTTAAGGCGTTGAATGGTTAAGAGAGACCCATGACTCAGATGGTTTTAGAATCATTAAGAGACAGTTTTTTTTTGTCAAACAAAATTCACCTCTTAACGGTTCGAAAATTAACTTTTAATAAAACTTTTTAAAGATAAAAGAAAGGATATCTGATTTAACATAACCTTCTACATTTATATAATAACAATATCTAACTTTATGGTTAGGAAGAAAAATCTCGTGAATTGATATGACTCATCATCATAATATTTCATTTTATTTGTATTATTTTATTTTAAAATAAATATTCACAATAATATATATATATATATATATATATATAATATTTATAATTGTACCTTTAGGGGCGATTTATTAAACGTTACTTAGAAAGTACTTACAGAGTAATTTTTCTTACCGGATGAAAATAATGATAAAGATGAAGAGTTTTACTTGGTAAGTGAAGGTAACGACTCTTACCCGGATAAATGCTTACCGAATAATTGTTACATACGATACCGTTTTGATATATTACAATCTTACCCGGTAAAATAAATTATAGTATTGAACCTTATGGTAAGCACTTACCCAGTAAGCATTTAAGTAAATGCCCCTTAGTAATAGAATGAAGAGTAAATTAGGTTTTTAGTTTGTTAAAGATTGGTATTTTCATTCTTATGATTTATAATTTATTTTTAATTTTGTTTTTACGATTTATAATTAATTGTTGTTTCGGTTTATGTGGTTTACAATTCTTTATTGTTCTGATCTCCTATACTTTTAAAGGTATAAATTAGTCCAAAAACAAAAATAATAAATAAATTGTAAATCATAAAAACGAAAATTGAAATTATTAACAAACCATCAAAACAAAAATCTTAATTTGCTCCAAATTGAATAATAAGTTTTTTCATATCCTATTTATGTATAGAATTAAAAAGTAAAGGTAATGATAGATTTCCATTCTTAGATGAATCTTAGTTTAAAGGGTTGTTTGTTTACTTTTTAATAGTTCCATTAAGTGGTAACATCTAAATCGTTAAGAGATGAATCTTGTTTTGCAAAATAACAGTTTTCCTCTTAATGGTTTTAAAACCATCTGAATGATTTTGTATCATGGATCTCCTTTAACCATTAAGAGCCCTAATTTTATTATACATAATTACCAAACAATTATATTTCCTTTTACATTATATCATGAGAGTCTCTTAATCATTCAAACCACTTAATCATTCTACATCAAACCATTCAACAACTGTTAAATAATCTCTATGTTTCTTTCTATCTAAATTATTTCTTACCTAATTATTGGAAAATATAATTATATAAATTTATTTATGTGGCTGGATTCACTCCACCTTCATTTTTGTCGACATTAATAAACCCCCAAAATTCCAGCCTTCACCCGCAAGATTTCAGAGCTAACCCCCCCAATTTCTTTATCAATCTTCTTCTCCATTTCTAGAAAGAGAAACTGTGACTGTGTGAGAGAGAAAGCTTCAAACCCCATTGGTGGGTACACACATATATATACCTCTAAACTGCTTCTTAAATCTCAGATCGAAGTAGAACCACTAAAATGTCAATGCACGCCAAGACAGATTCGGAGGTGACCAGCCAGACAGCGTCGTCTCCGACGAGGTCACCACGGCGGCCGGTCTACTTTGTTCAGAGTCCGTCGCGTGATTCGCACGACGGCGAGAAGACCACCAACTCGTTTCACTCAACACCTGTGCTGAGTCCAAACGGGTCACCTGGCCGACACTCCCGGAACTCCTCTTCCACCAGGTTTTCCGGGTCGCTCCGACCCGGATCAAGGAAAGGAAGCAGCCATCATCATCATCAGCAGGTTCGGAAAGGCGAAAAGGGATTTGATGCAATTGAAGAAGAAGGACTCATCGACGATGATCATCGGAGAGGAATCCCTCGCCGGTGTTATTTTCTGGCGTTTGTTGTTGGGTTTTTTGTTCTCTTCACTTTCTTTGCTCTCGTTTTGTGGGCCGCTGCTAGACCTCAAAAACCGGTCATCACGATGAGGGTAAACAAAATTTCTAACCTTCTCCATTCTTTAATGAATCTAATTGCATAATTTCGTTGATTTGAGTAGTTGATCTCACATGGGTATGTGTTAACCAAACCGAATTGGGATCCTGTAATTTGATCATTAGATCTCATCTTCAAGATGCATCTGAGTTTCAGATTACTATCATTTGCTCACTGGCGATTATTTATGTTATTTGCAGAGCATTTCGTTTGATCAATTTGTAGTCAATGCTGGAGCAGATGCATCTGGAGTTGCTACAGAAATGGTGAACTTGAATGTCACAATCAAATTCAATTTCCGCAATCGGGGAACATTTTTCGGAGTTCATGTGTCATCAACACCTATAGATCTCGCATACACCGAGCTAACACTTGCCTCTGGATCTGTAAGTCAAAAACATTTCAATTTTCCACTCCAAATCTTCACAATTTACTCTCGATTTGACATGGGTATCACTTATTTGATCTAAACTCAAATGGGTATCACCAATTTGATCTTAAAACTCAAATGGGTATCACCAATTTGATCTAAAAACTCAAATGGGTATCACCAATTTGATCTT